GAACCGCGAATTGTTACAACTGGTGATCCAGTCTGTCAACATCCGCCCTGATCCGAAGGCACTCAACTCTCCGGTATTGTGAACTTTTTCACTGGCCCTAGGTACTACGCATGCCGGGCGAGTCCCAGATATACAAGCTAACCGTTCAGCACTATCCTGGATTCAGTGTAATGTTTCTGCCGCTGGAATTCACTGCCAGCTCATGAGCCGCTGCTACTTACATCATTGTCATCTACATCCCAAGAGTTGAGCTCCCAATTGTTGTTTTTGAATTGCACTTCTCTGCATTGTATCACCTATACTTGAAATGATGGCAGTGTCGATGGGGATCAGTTCTGACTCGCACTTACAGCGTGACTGTTGCAAGAGAAGCCTTGTGATCAACTAGCGACCAGTAAAAACTCATCCGATGGAATCGGCTTGTATATGCTTACCAGAGCGCAACAAGTGACGTGGTTTAACGGCGCAATGGCGCTCTGCCTTGTCCCATCTCAGCTAGACACTAATCAGTCAAGTAACCGCCTCTGGAAGCATAATTTCGCAAATGTGCCTTTCACTTCGATTACATCTGGATACTTTTGTTGTGCACCATTCGAATGGGAATTCCTTGCGTTGTCAATATTTGACGGCTTTTAGACTGAAGTCGATTGGTGTACATATTGGGGCTAAAAGTCATTTCATCAACTTATGCTGTTTGTCAACTTCAGCTAGACTGCGCAGTCAAAATGCACACATGTGATTTTTCATCGTTGATATGAGATTCCCACATCTTAAAGCAGCTCCAGTATTGTGAGAATTGGATCCTATGTTGCTGAGGACGCAAATATTGCTGTTCCGTCACTTAAACATTTATTTCGCCGCAGATGCGCTGTCGCAGTTTGCGTGGAACCCCAAGGTGGTCAGTCAGACGTATCCGAAGGGTTTGAAGAATCTAGCTGGTTCATGACGTCTTCATAGATGGAGACCACAAGCCGACTAGATCATTTGTTGTTAAACATATCAGATGTAGTGCGGTCGCGTGGCCAGTTATCATCTCGTTTATTCCATCGCTTCGTATTCTTGACGCTTACACCCGACAGTTTAAATGTTGGCTTCTTCCTCTTGATTTGTTCTCATTACTGTTGGTTTGTTATTTCGGCGACGTCCGTCTCGGCAGCTAGATCCACCGCACGTCGTTGCAAGCATTCATACACAAACTAAAGGGAATTGGACTGATTTGCTTATCTCTTTCGGCGACACGCACCTCCTTTCCGAGTGCGTATAAAATCACTTTAGGTTTCACCTGTCTGCTTACCTAGGATGCTGCTATCGCGTTGAGAAATCTAATTAATGTCAGTGACGTAAAGTTGGCTGTCTTGCTTTTTTCGTTTGAGCAATTGGCCATTCCATAGGGTATTTACTTTTGGTTAACCCGGAAAGAGGGTTCTTGAAACGAACGGAAAACGCTTGAACTCATCTAGTACTGGTGACGGTTTCTCTTGTGCAGTGGATGCTCCTCAACTTATATTTTCGAACATGGGTTTTGGATAATAGCGCCCACTTCTAGTATTTGACAATTAATACACGACACAATGGAACACAATTGGTGTGCCACTTCGAGGTTCAGCGGGAGTCTACTAGAGGTCGGCCACACACAGTTTTGCAATAGCTAAAGCAACTTGTGTCTGTTTTTCTGTTATCTCAACCACAGGTTTTATCGGATTTGCTTCTTATTCGGCTTTAGGCAAGGTGCAACAAATCCGCTGAAGTCAGTTCTCCTCTTTTACTGTTACCGACAATTTTTACTAATTCCTCGTGAATGATTATCTGTTCTTGACGGGTTTTGTGGGAAAAACGCGGCGTACGTGTCCTCAACCTCCTTTGGGATCTATTTTGTCTAACACCTAACTTTTGACCTATGTGAATATGCCCAGCTTATCGCATCCCCTTAAAGTACCACGATATCGTTCATATTCAATTGACGAAATCGTGGAAGTTGGCTTTCCAATTGACCAGTACTTCAGTTACTTACTGAGATTATTTCCTCTGACCAGACTGCGATAGAACGGTAACATGACCACAATGAAATGATGCTTCAACTTTTTCTATTCGGCCTATTAAGCCCAGCGCACCACCGTATATTACCGAATACAAGCCGATGATTTTTGGACAATTTTTCATTTCTGTAGAGAAATGTCGGCTGATCTAAAGGTTATGCGCTATCTGAAAAAAGTCATGCAAAGTCTACCCAGGAATTCATTGCACATCTCTGCCCCTATCTTCTCTCAGCACCACCTGCTAGTGACGGGGATTTGAAGTGCCGCATTTTTCGTACGATATCCACGCAGCACCGCAGGTAGCATGCCTGTAACTATACACGTTTCTTGTGGCTAAAGTTCTCGGCATCTTGCACATTTGACGTTCGCGACGGAGGAAATCAGCAGAAATGTACGGGAATATACCGAATCAAACACCGCCACGCACAATAAGGTGGGAAAACATAAAGGAAAAACACTTATCGGTAGTTTTTTGGAAGTCGGCTAATTTAGGAACATATTTGATATTTCAAAGTTATGCTATCAGCCTATCCATAGAAGGGCTTATATACGTTATTTTAAACCTAAGGTTGTTTCAATTCACAACGATTGGAACCGTCACACCGCAACCAAACCTGCTAAAACTAACCGGTGGCTTTCGTGTCAAATTATACTTGAATTCAATCAATTGCATGAATCTCATAGACGATTAATGGAATAGGCTGATTATGTGACTGGTGCGCCCCCCTTGGAACATGAAGGCTATAGTGTTCGCGCATTCAACTTTTCTGTGGACCAATTAGAGAACAGCGGCGCGTCTGGAAATTGCAGCAACAAGAAGAAAACAGTGACGGCTTTTCCGCAACTCGGCGGCGTTCTCATACGATAGAAACGGATGTTTTGTTGTAGTGAAACTCAGCGTCTGTCTATAATGTTAGTGCTATATTCTTTAAATGCGCTGAATCATGCCGGGACCAGTTATTTCTGTCTTCACAACACATCGGATCCAGTAGCTACATCGCCTTTATCCTGCCAATCAGTAACACAGTGCTGGCGTTTTGCCCCGAGCATTCCCGTGCACACGCCACATGCGTCTGCGCACCGAAAATCGCGTTACAAAATGCACCAACTCCGATATCTTCACGTGGCATGTCATCGCAGAAGCCGAAGCCATAGAATTGTCTAGGGATTAAGCAATGTGATGACAGCTACCTCATCATCACATTAAACATGTGGTCAAATTCGTCAGCAGCATGCACCTTTCAGGTGTCCTGACCTTCAAGTGTTAAGCGATCATCAAAGCTGGCTAGTTTTCAGAGACGACGGCATGTCTGAGAACAGGCTATGTAGAACGATAAACGCTATTCACTGTAGTGCGTGTTTCCTAACACACTCAGGCACTTGTTAGACGTACCGAACATTGGCCGTCATGCTCAATATTGCAATCATATTCAACACGCCATACCTCGATCGGACTCTGTCACGCATACAATGACGGTTCGAGCGACGGTACATTTAGGCTGTCAGCCATGTGTCTGCGTACCATCGTTAGCAAATAGCGCTTATTTTCTCAGATCGCTTTAATAGTGATCTGAAAAAATAAGCGCTATGTTGGTTGGTTTCCTCTTCGTTTCAACCGTGCTCGCCCGTTCGCCTCCCTTTCACCATATGATGTGTTGGAGTGATGTCGATACGTCATTTTACTGTATGGCGTTCGTTGCAGCCCACACTCGCTTAGCCGTCCTTAGGATGGACATATTTCTATCTTTTTCAGACGCAGCTCGGAACGTTGCTCGTTCGCACCCTTTTAGGACGACACCTTGACTCCAGGCCATTCAGTCTACTGCTCACTAACATGTTTTACTAGTTATCTAAACTACTGCATATTCGCGTAGGTTGATTTGGAGTGCCGTTCGCGCTTTCTCATCTATCACCTGGCTTCGAAGGCGTGAGGCAGAATCACTTGCTTTCACTGATCTTGCTGGGTGCTTATCACAACTCCTATCACTTGTTAGTTGCTTTGATGTTGCAAGCACTACCATACCTTTAAAGCACACAGAGTGAACGAGTGTTAAATTTCGGAAGCTAGCAGTGCAATCCTCTCTTGACTACAATTATTGGGATTCAGTTCTCTTATTTACCCTTGTAACTCCATCGACTCAGGTGGGTCCTTGTGGACATTTAAACAAGCAAGGCATACTATTACTTGCACGTATTCAGGAGATTCAGTCGGCCATTTCGGTTTTATTCTGGTTACGGCGAACTAGACGGGGGGTCAAACGAACGTGTTCATGTGTACCGACAATATTTCCGTACTCACTTGTATACGTGTGCCTAACAGCACGCGCACGCTGACCAGCTGCCACGTAGAGTTATGTGTTAGTTGCCAGTTTGTTAGCACTCTTCTTGACACTTTACTGCCTGCCTCCGATCGATTCCTCCGTATTTTCTGGCTTACCTAAGCGGGTCGCTCACCACTCTATCGTAAAAATGATCCTAACCGAGGCATTCTATCGGTTACATTTGTGTACGTGTGTATTTCTGAGCCAACTTTAGTCAACACATTTCATCCGTCTCGCTGTCTCTTGACCGCCTGATTCGTTGGGGTCACTGTCCCTTTGTTTGTGTGCCTCCACCTTTCGTTCACTGCACCGTTAATACAGCTTTTCTTGACTTTCATCTTCGTTTTTTGCCCACCGGGTTTATCGTATCACTAGTTTGTGCATATTTTTTGTTTAAGCCATCATTTGTCATTTCTTCACTTTTCCCACTTGCTTTCCAAACTCATTCACCTATGTTCCATAATCAATAGCGTGTCTGTTGAATCTTGTTCTCAATCGAATTTTCTCGCCTTCGGTTCTCATTCAGTTTACCTCATTTAAAACTAACTAGGAATAACTGCTTTTCTCTGCCTGTTCCCCTCACCTTAGAGCGAACGCGATGTTTCCGTTCGTCAGCGAGCTGTGGATTTGCTCTACGCGATGTGCGACCGCACCAATGCTCAAGCGATTGTCGGTGAGATGCTAAATTACCTTGAGGTGGCCGATTATTCCATTCGTGAGGAGATGGTTCTCAAGGTGGCTATCTTGGCGGAGAAATACGCCACGGACTACTCGTGGTATGTCGATACTATCTTGAATTTGATTCGGGTTGCGGGTGACTACGTCAGCGAGGAAGTGTGGCACCGGGTCATTCAAATCGTAGTGAATCGCGAGGACATTCAAGGCTATGCTGCAAAGACTGCCTTTGAGGTTCGTTGTCTTGTTTTTCGGCAGCATCGGTGTTCGTAATGGTATTCCACCTTTTCTCTGTCTTCCTTCACAGTACACAAAGGGGTCGAATTGCTCGTAGACATTCTCATCTCTCTCTCTACCATCTTTTTGATTACTTTTGACTATTTACAAATCGGACCACTTAACTTTAGAACGTTGATATGTATAGCAAAATATCGATCTAACTAATACTAGTACGACGAAATGTTAAATACAGTAACCTTTTAGCTCTCCTTACCTTTTCTCCATTTGTATGTTAAAATCTTCAGAAGAAAATCATGAATTTTCTTAATAATAGTACCCATAACCTTATGTACCGGTACAGTTTGATGTGCTCAACAATTATAAAAACCCCTTGTAATAACTGTGTGCATATCACTACTTCGTGTATGGACTTATTTCAATGTAACAAACTTTCACTATAAAAATCCCGTCGCCACGAGACTGAGACTTAATTTAGGGCGATGGCTTGCGTGCCTCTGCGATCCACTGAGGTGGTGTAATCGGTGGTGCTTTCTGCCTTTTCAGAGTCACTCATACCAGATTGGTCAATCGTTAGAAGTCTGACAAACTTGTCGTCTGGCCCTCCAGATTGGGGGTTGGAGTAAGCATGGCTCATTACTTTCTTGAAGGGACACTGTGTAGCCTACTGCCCAAATCTCGCTATTTTGCCGTCATGTCCTTTAAACCAAAGATTGTTGAGAACCCTAATTGTTCTCCTGTTTAGACCTGAGCATCCTGCCCACGCAATACAATGAGTTTTTCTCAAACGATTTTTCGATACTCTGACCATCCAGATGCCAATCAACAGCGCCCCTTCTGATACATCGAACATGCTGGAGATTGGCGAGAATACTACAGCTCAGGCCCTCTCTTACGCTTTTTCATCCCCATTGTCCCCTTCCGACCAATTTTATCTTCCCTGTCTCCAAACTCCAGATTTTCATCCCTCTGTGGTCTTGCTTCGATAATTTCCTCTCCCAAAGTTTCCGCTCAGACGCAATCACAGGGCATCGCTCCGGTCTAATCGACAAGTTTTTTTCAGCTATGCAATCGATCTCAGTTCATCCGTTTCTATTTGGACCCTTGATCTTCGCTAACACTAGTATGTCTCAATGTGCGCACTTTGTCACAGATCGGTCAACAAGCAGCGCTTCCTCGAACATTGGGTACCCTGTCGATCAATACCTACCATTTATCGGAAACCTACCTGCAAGACTAGAGCTAACTTGTTGATTGAATGGTTATAACGCTAATTTCCGATGTCAAAGGGTTTTATTGTGCCTGTTTTTCACTGTACACAGTCAGCTAATGGTAACGGTTTCGTTGAATCGGGAATTTATGTTTCTCAGCACATCGCACGTAATTTAACAAAGTGCTTAATGCATCACACCGTTGCACACACCAACTCATCCCTATCAAATGACTGCCTACCCAGTCTAGCAGCGCGCCATTCAAAGATTATATGGTCCTTTTCATTCGTGTCACCATAGAGAACAACCGGCTGGTCACTTCTGCATCTTTAATTGCGCGATATTGGACAACGGCTGTTGAAGCACATTTCTGTATGAGAATCAAATTGACACACCCGCTTCCTTATCTCTTTAATTCCTTGCTATTCTGCCGGTCCTCCTGCTCTGCTGCCTTCACTGTGCTCCAGTTTTACTTCGCTTATGTATTCCCTCTATCAGATTCGAGCACCTGAAGTTACACAGCATCTAACATTTCAGCATTCTTATCTATACTGTTTGACACCAAGCACTTCTCACCGAACACTCGCACACTCTGCTGTGTGTCGTTTCTTATCGACCGTTGGCGTTTTACTACACTGACCGGCGTTCGAGGAACATCTGGCTAATTATACATTCCGTTGACCGCATACCTGTTGAATTCACTGCATTTCCGGATGTGTTCTCAGTATAAGCCAACTGATAACCATGCTTTGCATTACAAGCGGCTAGTTTCCCATCTCAAAGTGAATGAAATTGTAGGACCGGGTGTCGTTTATCAAGCGTTTTCGTGTACCCTGTCTCGACACGCCTCGGATTAGTAAAGTTTCTTTTGATCAAAATATGTCTGTATTCGTACCTGTCTCGTAAATCAAGACAATCTTCGCTTTTCCCATTCGATTGTGTTTGGCTTTAGGTTGGCTAGCTATCTAGCCAACCTGAGATCGATCACTTAGACACAGGTGATCCACTCAATTGGTTGAATAACCATTGTTTATTTATTACGATGCAGGTCATTGCACGCTAACCCACCGTAATTCAGTGCACGGGTAATGATTGTTTTATTGAATTGAACCGAATTGTTGATTGCTTGTCTATTTACTACTTTGCACTCTTCGCATGCAGCTCCGCAGTCGAATGGCTTCCACATCGTGCTTTTAGCTTTCTACTCCAGACCTTGGAAACTATTTAGTCGGCAGCCCGTCGAACATGTTGAAGTTAATTTGGATTAAATAGGACGCTGGTTCGCATTCGGTCGATTTACCTTTGTATCAATGTTATCCTTGTTCTGTAAACATAACTCCGCTGAGTAGCTCCTTGCTGTTGATTTGCGTCGGTCATTTCACCGTTCTTCCTCCTTGTTGGAGCTGGTAGGGATTTCCTTGATTTACCAAATCTCCGAGTAGAGTGCTCCTACAACAATATCTGGCGGACTGTTCATGCACCATACGTGTGGAGGCAATTGACTTGTCTCCCTCCTCCGTTGGGCACGCGCCCATTAGTTATTGCAATGATAGGCCTCTATTAACTGTCTGGGCCATTTTGTATTCTCTTGTTATGTTGGATGCTGTCAGACTGCAGTTTTCGTTGGTCCACAGAAGATCGCACACTTCGGAGCAACTTCGTTTTCCTTTCAAATGAAGTAGTACATCCACCGTCTTGTGTTTTTCCCACTCTTATTAATGAAGTCAATCCGTAGCCTTTTTATGACTCTATTGTGTCTGATTGGGCATGCGCACCTGACGCTGTGGATCGGTCACAAGCAAGTAGCCCCACCAGTTCGTCTTCTACAGCTTGACACCACCTATCTGTGTGGTGAATTGTATTTGTTTCATGACCTTCTTTCACATGCTTCACCTGTTTTGCCCCGCTAGTCACCCTTGGCTTATCTATATAATAATCGATCGACCGACCACTTCTGGGCCAACATCAGATGTAAACATGTAGTCTGCTTACACTCGAAAGACTCATGTGTTTTAGGGGTCCCACCCTCTGGTTCTTGGGACTCGACCTTCTTACTCTCTGCATCTGCTCTAGTTACCTTTCGATGGTGACAAGCCTGTTTATTGTCAGACCATCTTTATTCACAGCAATATGTAGGGGTGTTTTTTCGTTATTTTCTTGTAACTTATTGTCACGATGTTATTCTTTCACTACTGTGCTCCAGGCGCTGCAAGCTCCGGCCTGTCATGAGAACATGGTCAAGGTTGGCGCTTATATTTTGGGAGAATTTGGCAACCTCATAGCTGGTGACGCCCGCTCCTCGTAAGTGCTCTACAACAACTGTACTTGTGTTTCACCGTCGTGTATTGTTTCATGATTTGCCTCGGCGCCTTTTGTAAGGACTTCATCGTATTTCATTTACATTCCCTTCATGCATAAATAATCCGGTTAACTGCGCCATTCTGTATGGTTTCTTTTACTGTAGACTTAGTTGATTGTTTCTGTTTTTCAATCTACGAAGTACTCTCGACGTTTCTTTCCTGAATACGCCACCCGTTTGTTCTCTTCCATACTAAGATCGGTGCTTGAGTACGGCTCACCCGCCTATTGTCCCATCACAATAGGCGACGTGCATAGACTGGAACGGGTTTAGCATGTCGCTACCCGGCTCATCCTCAGTTTACGGGGTATGTCATACGGGGACCGATTTAGGAGACTAGGACTTTATACCCTTTCATATTGTCGGCTTCGAGTTGATCTCATTATGACGCACCGGATACTGCACCTGGAGCCGCTGTTGTACGTTCCTGCACCAAGCAGCACACGCAGACACCGGTACAAACTAATAATACCGGATTTAACGTGCATCGCTCACCCTCTATGCTTCGAGCGTCGATTGGTGAAATATTGGAACGAATTGCCGGAGACGCTAGTCGAGGCGAAGTCGATGTTGGAATTTAAGAGATTTCTTGATACCCACTTTGCGGACTACATGTATAAGGAGCGTATCGCACCCGGATAAGATGTAGTGCAGCTGCAATATGCTGCCACCGCGCAGGCATCAGCGATCTCATTCCGCGCATGTGCCCGATCCACCTACGGTGGTGCAACACAGATGTTTATCTTCTCCTCTCTATTATCAGTATTTGGCACTTACTTAAATGTTTCCTTTCTTCAGCGGATGCATGATTCACGGATTATATATGGTCCAAATTTGGGATGTCTCATATTCACGACGGTGTAACTATGTAGAACACTCGTTCTCATCGTTTTTCGGAAGTGTTGAGCATCTCTTCTTCTGTTTCAGGCCGAAAATCCAGTTCAATCTGCTTCACAGCAAATTCCACCTGTGCACACCTAGCACACGACAGCTTATGCTCTCAACCTACATGAAATTCATTAATCTGTTCCCCGAAATCAAGGCAGATGTGCAAGATGTTCTTTTAAATGACAGCAACTTGCGTAGTTCTAATGTGGAGATTCAACAACGTGCCACGGAATATTTGGCTCTTTCACGCATTGCAACTGATGACGTGCTGGTGAGTCCGTTACCTCGTATTTCCAGCGCCTATGTCATCTCTTTCGTAACTAACCGCACCGACGTCGTTGACTCCACTCGCGCTTACGGTCGTTTCGACAGTCAGTTTAACGGTTACATCTTTTTCTTCTCCGTCATCTGGTCCTATCCCTCGTCCCATCTGTACTGATTTTCCTTCAAGTCTGTAGTGGTCTCTAGCAGAACTTCTCCCCTCACCGATTAGATGTAATTTTCTCTACGAGCTTGATCATACCCTTCTGGGATTTTACTGCGCACTGTTCCCACCAGGTTCTTGTTACACAGTGCAGTTCACTACGTGGTTTTCGAATATTTGCTGTTCCCCGGTCCTCAATTTTCGGTGTACATGTCACGCGCCATTTGGTCTTTTTCTTAACATAGTCTCAGCAAGGACGTTGCCCTCTGTTTCTGTTTGACGAGAACATTCCTGAGTTCAGTTGTTAAACATCCTATCGGTAGATAGCAATCGACTTTTCGAAGATTGACCTGTTACTTCAAGCCGCTTACCATATCGCATGTTGTGGTAGTTCTTGTTCGCCACTCCTTTTGACGCACCGGTTGGTCCGAATACAAACCAGTGGCTCAGAACAACGTCTCTTCTTTTTGCATTGAACTTGGTTTGCAGTTTCGACTCATTCAACTATCATTCCTTCGCTCTATGTGGCAGCTTTGTCGTGGATCTTTTAATATTAACCTACCCGTGTCGTTTGTCTCAGTACACATTCTGGGCACTGTCGTTTTCTCGTTTTACTTCGGTCTCCATTCTGGGTACAAGATCGATTATCCCACTTACTGAAGCATGGCGCTTACCTTTTAATAACCATTGGTAAATTCACCTGGTCAACTCTGATTGCCCTTCTGGCATGTCTACTGACGCGCACTCCTTCCGCATGATTCTTGTTATGCGGTGCAGTTGTTTGTTTCTTCTGGACGTTTTTCGTGCCTTGTTTATCATGTCACATGACGTGGTGACTGCGTAGTTATCGAAGAGGCGCCATGCCATTCGGTTCAACATGGACTGTCCAACTGTGTGGAGTATGATGCTCACCTTTTGCTTCTCGTTTGATGTAGTGACATGCACGTGTTTTGATGTGGTTCATTTTTACTATTTGTATCCTCTGAAGTTGACACCCATCCGACTATTGCACTTTTGATATTATCATTGTGACCCAACTGTCTGCTGTTTTCAGGCTACTGTACTAGAAGAAATGCCACCGTTTCCCGAACGTGAGTCAAGCATTTTGGCCAAATTAAAGGCAAAGAATCCGAACTCTGATGCTCCTTTAAGCCAAAAAACCGAGACTGCTGGGCGAGTTGACAACGCTGCTACCCCCACGGTCAACTCCTCTCCTTCTGTGAAGGTTGGTGCCTACTCTTTCATTTTTATAGACATTCCTTTGAGTTTTCTTTGTCTCGTTGATGAATCTCTCCTAAAGCACACTAGATCATCATATCCCCTTTTCTATGGCGGATGTCCAGTAATACTTCCCTAGAGCGCGTTGCTTCTTTGCGTTCTCATAAAGCAGCGATGCTACTAACTGACCGTAGCGTGACATACCTAGATGAACAAACACTAGGGTATATAACAATCCTTTGTTGTTCCCTTGCAATCCTCCTAATCGGCAATACTTGTTTGGCTTTTTGGGATTTTACTCTCATTCACGCTTTTCTGTGATGGTTTGTCTTTTCAAGTCCATTGCTGGTGCCGCAGATTTGCAACCGGCCACTACCTCCAACACTACTTGTCCGCACTAGCAACTGCCTCTTCCTGCTTGGTTGTCAGCTTTTACTTTCCTCTTTATAAGTGTCTAGGGAACGCCTTGCAAGAATCGTTACGGCATTTGCATTATCGCCATTAGCACTTAGTTTGGATGCCTACTAGTCTTTAGGAGTGTCGAATCACTGCAACCTATGCACTATTCTGTCTCATCAAAGCACGCGTTGGCACTTTTTTCGCAATGGAAACCAGAAACTGATCATGCCTTCTTTGGTGTGCCTCATGTAACATCGAGAATATATCTCTAATTTATTTATTTGTTTGAGCATCCTCGCACTTACTGACAGCATGTTGAGGAATATGCTGCAGTTACAATGCAACACAGACCATTGCTGTGTAAGCGGATTGGTGAGAACATTCCGAAGCGTATCCGTTACATTGACAAGGCAGCTGCAAACGGGACCTGTGACGACAAACAAAATACCTGCCTCCTCGATTGCGAAACATCTGATGGAAACGGGTCATTAGGTGGACCCCAACTCGACGTTTACTGTCATCTGATGTCGTAACACAAACACCAGAATCCTCAAGTTTGCCGAGGCAGTGCCCATAAAAACCATCGTGCAACATTGTGCTTTCAGGCGCAACTGTTCATTATGCTCAAACTCCTTTGGTTTTAATGATACCTCCTCAACTTGTAGCCACCGTTTACTTCGTTTGCATTTGACCTTCAGCTTTCAACTTATTGATTTTTTTGTCACGTTATCCTTTAACATGTTGCCCCTATGCAAGTGAACAGAGGTTACGGAATATTTTTTCTCCATTTGTCCCATCCGTTTATGGTGATCTCCGTCTAATATTCACTCATTATGTTCTTCCCACTCTAAAACCTGCATGTCTGGACTCTCGAGTTCGTGTGCGTCTCGTATTTACTCCTGCTTGAGTATGCCACCTCGTGCTGGGTTCGTCATGTCTCTCCTATTTTTTGACTTCCTTGACCCGTCTCTTCTGTGATAATGGCTCTATTAGTTGATGTGCCGTTGGGTCTAGATTATGTTATGCTATTATTGGCTCTATTGTTATATCAACACTTCTAGATTGGCTGCACGCACCCGCGTATGCTTCATTCTTTCAAAGTGCGTGCAATGTTATGTATGGGGGATGTTCTCTCCCTAAGGAATTGCTCGATAATGTCGTCCAGTTTGCTTATTCATGTGCCTGCATCACTCGTTTCTTTGTCGGATCCCTGATTACGTTGGTTCGTGCGTCGATCATCCCACATGCGTTTGCGAAGTCTTCTCGACTCTCCCCAATTCGAAATAACTACGTTTGATGGGCGAATCAGTAGTCCAGTAGTGTATGATGGGATTAGAAGCCTAACTTTACAAGATCCACAGGATGGAAAGTGTACAAGGAAATTAAAATCGTAGAGGTTCCAACATGGAACCTTTATCATCAGTAGTAAAGACATCGCACTTTATCACACTGTTGTGTAGCCTTTAGCACTACGATGAAAGTCCGGAAGCCTTTCGAATGTTGCGATGTCTGCTGCCTTCACAGTGTGTTGATATTGCATTCCAGTGGGAACAAATTCTAAGGAAAAATATACTTCCTACAATGTAAACGGGTGTGTTGCATTACTAGTTTCGGTTGATGGCATCGACATTGTTTGTAAGAAGCTAGGGTGCTCGCTTTCATTTAGTATCTGGTATGTGAGAACGAGATCTCTGCGATGCCGTCGGTATTCTGAGGAGAACACACCGAGTAAACGAAGGCGCAGTTCGTAATTGAGACCGGATGGTCCACGTGTTGCCTTGGTGGCTCTTCTTTGGGGTTGCTCCAAGAGACGAATATCTCGTTTTAACCATGGACACCAGGCCTGAAGCGCATATGTAATTGTAATGTGTTGATCGGCAGTAGTAATAGCCATCGCTCAAAGATGCCGAGAGCTGGCCTCAAAAGCCTCTAGTTCAAGTTCGCTGCTTTCGAACATCCGTGCGAATTACCAAGACTTTCTTGCACCATGATACTCAAGTCTCGTTCACTAGTCATCAGTTGCAAAACCTGTTGTCCCAGAAGATGTGTTGATGAAGCTGCTACGCACCGTCAGCAAGTGGCACTTTGCAGGATTCAGTGGGAGCTGGTTCATTTCTGCCCATTCGTTAATCCGGTTCAAATGTTTCTAGAGATAAGCACGGTCAGATGCTGAGCGAATTACTCTCCATATTTTAGCATTATCTGCAAATATCTGCATCAGGATGAAATGTTTTCTGGGAGATCATTTATGTTAACTAAAAATAATAGTGGGCTGAGGACGGCTCCTTGCGGTACACCACTGGATACACAGGCTTTCGGAGTGAGTGTCGGCTACTCTTACATTGATTGCTCTGTCATGTAGTCTGTCAAGTAGTCTTCCAACCAGCTGAGCAGGGAACCGTTGCTACTGTAGGCAGCAAGCTTTTGGAGGAGAACGACGTGATTGACACTGTCGAATGCTTTAGAGAAATCTAAGTAAATCACATCTATGAGGACCGTGTCATCAGCCGCTCTGGTCCATGAATCCCGGACAACGAACAGATTAGTGAAGCAAGAGCATCTGCGTCTGAAACCATGTTGAACATCCGAAAGTATTTCAGGTTTCTAAAATATCGCGTCAGTTCATCTGCGATTATCGATTCCATCACTTTCGACTAAACTGGTACGAGTGTGATAGGTCGGTAGTTGATTCTCTGAAATGGGATGATGGTTTTTCCTTGTGAGGCCTAATGGCATTCATTCTGTTATACTGCCCTCCACTACTACGGCTTCCTGCTGTGGACGAAATGTTCGGCTCTTGTGGACTTCTCCGCGCAACAGCTGATCTAATTCGCGTTGATACGTCCCGTGAGACAGCCGTCAAAATTTTTTCACGTCCTTGCACTGAGGCGAACACAGACCCCATGCGACTACCCGCAACACCGAGCGAAAAAAAGATAGGCATTCAGTAAAGGCACTTCTACAAGCTTTATCCAAATACAACACGCCTTGTTTGCAGCAGGTTAATCTCATTATCGGAGTTAATTGTCATGGCAACGTAATCGCTACTCGGTAACGGCGTCACTGAAGGGATCACGCACTGGATTAGCTGGCAGTTATCTCTGGGGAAAGGACGGAACTAATTGCCATCTGATGATATAGTCACCGATAAGATATTCGTTGCCGTCGTTGTCACCGCCGTTATCATCATCATCATCGTCGTCGTCATCATCAGTAGCAGTGCATCATCCATTTTAACTGGTGCTTCGCTACCATATAACCATGCGTAACGGAGAATAATGACAGCGCGAGAAGGGGGGGGGCTTAGTGTAAAACCTTAATGCCCCAAACAAACAGATGCTTGTCTCTTTCTCACAAGCACTAATTTTCGACTCAGCACTCGCAACGAAACTGGACCTTAACGTGGTGCGACGGTTTGTGTACCTCCTTGACCCATTGAGCTATATTGGGTGGTGCCTCCGGGCCCCTTGAGAGCTACTCCTACCAGGTTGATCAATGGGTAGAGATCAGACAAACTCAGTCTCCTGGTCCTCCAAGTTGGGGGTCAGAACTAGGCTGGCGTCCATTTCTGTAAAATCAAATCTTTGCTACCTCCCTGCTGCCTTGCGAACAGACTTTTGAGCCAAAGGCTTTGGTTGAGGATTCTAATCATCCTCCTGTCTAGGTCTGGTCGCCCTGACAGTATCTCAGCCCACATACAACCATGACATCTTCAAACATAAACTTCATCCTGCATCCGCCGTCGCGCGGATTATCAAGGGTCGCCTTATCTGCTGCATGCAGCAGGGCGGATAAGCGAAAACATGCTACTGCTGGCGCCTCCCTTCTTTTTCACCTGTTCTTCTCCAGCCTTCATTACTAACCTTTTATAATTCTCAGCTTTATTGACAGCAACCGAAGTGCCACTGGAGTAGAACCATCTGCAGCCACCATCTTGCGACACGCACCGGACGCCTATCAGCAACGGTCCCTTACAACGCCACACTGTCCCGTTTTCATGGCGTCGTTCAACGTTCGCACTCTAAGACAAGTAGATCCACAGCCTGCGCTCGCACGCAACGTGGACACACTGGGTATTGATGTGTGTTGTGTTTCCGAAACCAGGATCAGTGACCCTGAAGGGGTTATTAAATTAACTGCACCCGGCTTCTCTCGTTATTGGTTGCACGCATCCGGAGACGCCGATGCAGCACTCATGGGTCAAGCTGGTGTAGGTATCATTCTAAGCTCCAAGGCTGAGCCATCGTTGGTTGATTGGATTCCGGTGAACAGCCGTTTATGTGCAGCCCGTTTGACGACGTTAACTAAGGTCATTCACGAAGTAGTACAAAACGCTGTTTTGATTTCCGCTTGTGCTCCCACAGACTGCAGTTCTGATGCTGTCCAGAACACATTCTATCACGAACGGAACACGCTGCTACGCAGTTCTACTAGTTCAGATATTAGAGTACTTGCAGGGGATATGAACGCACAAGTAGGGCGTCTGAGCTCTTCAGAGGCTCAGCTAGATGGTTATTATAGACTTAACTCCGAACGGACTGACAACGGCGACTGTCTGCTGCAACTGTGTGCGGAGCACCAGTTGTTTCTTAGTAGCACTGCTTTTAGACACAGTGGGCGCCGATGTGCCACTTGGCGTCCTCCTGTAGCTGGCCAGCGATGGACCCAAATTGCTCAGTTTGCCATAAGTTACAAGTGGGGTGGTTGCATCCTGGATTGCCGCTCGTACTGGAATACCTGAATCGACTCTGATCATGCCTTGGGACTTTGTCGTTTATCCATGACCTTTGCCGGGTGGCGCACCAAGTGTCTCCTCCGATTGGCAACTGAGAAATTATCCCAGCCATCGGTCAGGCAAGCCTATCAAGACGCACTGCGTACCGAACTTTCGCTCTCTTACATTAATGACATTGAGCTTCAGTGGAATAGGATCTCAGCTGCGATGCACGACGCATGAGCCACTGCTTGTGGCACTATCACTTCTCACCGCACCAGTCGCTGGATATCCGAGTGGTCGGCGAACCTGTCGGAATCCAGAAGAAAAGCGCCGGCTGGCTCTGTGCACAATGTGACCAGACGGGCTATTAGGCGCAAGCTAAAGCTGGGCCTATGTGCTAACAAGGAAGCCTGGTTTACCCGTCGAGCTTAAAAAATGGAGGAGGCAGAAGTAGTAGGCAATTACCGCAAGCTCTTCCAGCTGATCCGCACCACTGGTCCCAGAAAACCAGGCGTCAGTGCGACAAGCAGGGACAGCGCGGTTACATTGTTACACAATAAGGAGCGTCCTATGGCTCGTTGGGCGGAACACTTTGAAGCTCAGTTCAGCTGGCCCCCTACTCCCGGACCTCTTTCTACTCAGGTGATGCAGGACGAGCCATGGTCGGTTAATTTAAGCTTCCATCGGAGGCCGAGATCCGAAACGCAATCGCAGCGCTCTATCGTTTTCGTGCTGTTGGCTCGGATTCCTTGCCAACTGCAATATTTAAAGATGGAGGTGAGGTCCTCTGCAAAGCACTGACCTCCCTATTCGAACCTGCCTAGAAGGAGGAGAGTGTCCCGGTTAACTGGAGTGCATGGATTATAGTGGCAATGTACCAGAAGGGCAGTTGCACGGACTGTTCTAACCACAGGGGAATTAGCCTAACGCCATTTGTGACAAAATTACTGGCCTCGGTTCTCGTTCGTCGCCTTACTGAGGAACGGGAATCTCGGATTAGGAAAGGAGCACACATCCACCAAATTTTAAACTACTACAGCAATCACCCGAAATATCACAAAACAAGCTGCATGCAGACTCTCGTAGAATTGAAACACCTTGCAGCACTCTTGAGGTGAAGCGAAAAGAAGTGATATACCTATTCAGATCATTTCACCTAAATGGATATCCACATAACTGCGTCCGGCGGTGTCTAGACAACAAAGCTACGACCTCAGCCTGCTCCAACAACAACAAAGAGAATCGTTCTACCTTATGTAATGAACATCTCCAAAATGACGGCAAGATTATTCAAACAGCCCGGTCTTACAGTGGCTCACAAACTAACCGCCACATTGGGGAGAACCCTGTCGAAACCCAAAGCTAGACTTGAGGCATACGAAAGACTAAATATTGTTTACAAGATACGGTGTCAAGATTGCGATAAGAACTATGTGGGTCAGACAGGAAGATGACTGTCTACACGAATACAATAGCATAATAGAGGTTGTAAGAACCACTACGCTCTCTCACTAGTTTCATTACATACGGACGATGAACATCGCTTCGATTGGAACAACGCAGAGATCCTAACACAAGGAGAGATACGGAGTTTAAGAGAGTTCCTCGAAGTGTGGTACTCGACGAAGCACTCGATAAACATGCACGTCGAGATTGACCCAGTTTACGTAACGATAAGACGGAGAGAATTGAAAGAAGTTAAAAACCGTCATGTGCAGCTAAACGAGCCGTCAACAACATAGCCGCAACGGCCAGGGCGAAATTATCTTCATCGTCCGTGTCTATCAGAGAAGTTGGGCATTCGGATGGTTACTGGGCACAGATCGAGGAGGTCAATTCAAAAGTCACTTGCTTATAAATCACAAATCGACCAAGTCAGCGAATTATATTTTACCCAGCAGCGTACTGAGGAAGTCACCTTGTGTGGTGATGAAACGTTTGCATACCAATTGCGAAGCTTGGCAAACAGCTGAACCCAGGAACGATCAACCTGGGCTACCAGTTCATCAAGTCATTTTAAACTTTTAACATGGCCCAGATGATTGCTCTTGCATCACACCTTTTGGAATATGCACTCCGTCGCTTTTGATACCGTAAGTTAAACTTTCACGGGTTCTTTTCCGTTTTGCTTCCTTATTACCGTCTGTCATTTTCCTTTGCTGTGGTGCATTTGTGGTTGAGAGTGTGGAACTCGGTATCGGTTCGTTTCGATGGGGATTCTGTTTACTAGTAGCATAAAATATCTGAATGTTTTGTGTGGCCCTTCATGGATTCGGTTCCTCAGAGTACCGAGAAATGTCCTGTGTAACTTATTATTATTTTTTGACTGTAATTACGTGCTCCACCTTGCGGTAGAAATCTGGCATTTAGCTTACCCCCCGACTTTCATCGCAGCTACCACTCGGTGTCGCTATTGGTGCTGGCTTCCACCATAGTATATCATCGCGGTTTGCTGTGATTTCTAAACCGGTCGTTCGTGACTTCACCATTTTTGGAGCACACATTCCAGTTGACATAGTACATAAATTCAATCTACCGCAATGGTTTGGAGGGGGGTCATTTTAAAGCACATGTATGAATGGAGAATTCAACGCGTATTCTCAATCAGACCCACAATTCTGTTTGAAGTGAAGGACAGTCCGATTATTCGAGCCTAGTCGGAAGCAACTAAACTCTGTTTGTCCCTCTATCGCAACACACTGGCCATTTTCATACTTGTTTGCACGTATCAGGTGGAAATGGCTGGACTCTGCGAATCGAACCTGAAGGCTTCCAGATGTCGGTCGAAACCCGCCTTCGCGGCGAACGACGCTTGTCACAGCATCCAATCTTTATCACTCTACCGTGACTTTGATCCCGATGGCTAGTTATAGAGTGCTGTGACCTGCTTAACCCCGTCGGCCCATTGTTTTTACCGCTTCTTCACAATCGTTTTTCCTCGCTTTTAGCACACCATCATCAAGTCTCCAAGACAGACACCATGCTGACGTGTGCCGGAAGAACGAGTGCTGCTCATCATTTGACTAGCTGATTGGCAGTTGTAAGCTTTGTCTATAGTTTCTATGCGTACCAGTATCTGGCATCGTTTCACACTCTCCTCCTTTATGATCAGAATAGAACCTGGCGACCCCGTATTTTACCCGTATCGGGAAGGTAACCGCCGTTATGACGATAGTAAGCCTATTTTGATTGCTGTTTCTATCTCTTCCCAACTGTCACTGTAGAATACTTTCGGTTTCACAAATGGTATACATTTTTCTTCTTGGTTTTTTCTCTTCAGGGCGACCTTTCTAATATAACCATACCTCCACCAACAGGAGAAGTGGATTTATTAGATTTAGGCTCTCTCACTCCGCGCCCAGCCCCCACCACTGCGGCTGCCAAGCAGACGGCATCTACACCATCCAACAATTCCCTGTTAGCTGATTTGTTGGGAAATGGGTATGCGATTTCCGACGGCACTAATGGCTTCCTAGACGAAGCATCAATCACTAACAGACGCGAATTCATCGGGTAAGTTTTCATCCCACTGTTTACACCGTTACTGTTCGGTGGGTATAGTGTTTTTTAGATGTGTCATAATGAATCCCAAGTTGTTTGAGTTTATTACAATCCGCTGTCATTTGGCCACTGAGACTGTATCTGGGAAAGATAATTGTGAGGCATTTCTCCTTCACAGTCCCGCTACCAACTACCTGATGTGTGCAAATAAGCACAGAACCGGTCTTAGTGTGCTGTTTTTCGATTGGGCGACATCTGCTAATTATCCAAGGTTGTTGCCGGCTCGGTGAACAGCCCAACTCTCTCTATCCACACTCCGAGCCACAGGTATTCTCGGAAATATGCACATACTGTTGGATCGGATTCCATCCAAAGTCCGGTGCGAGACACCCGCCGCGTTGCGCTGCTTCCGTTTATCAATCGATTAAATTAACTCACGCCCTCATTGGTCTATTAGTTCAGTTTAGTGTGTGTTCAGCTCTTAGGTTGCAGGCTCAGTCGTACTCTTCTCGTTCTTTGTGCTCTTCTAGTCTTTCACTTACGTTTGTCTTTATTCCTCATTCTTGCAGCCTACTTAGTCGTCCCAGTGGTGTACTGTTTGAGAACAACATCATTCAAATCGGCGTCCGGTCCCAGTCAAACAGACATCTCAGCCGCCTCACTCTCTTCTACGGCAACAAGTCTGGGAACCCGTTGACACACTTCAACGCACAACTAACATCCGGCGGTGAGGCACTGGACGAAATCGGTCCTGACAGAGCCGTAAATGTTGACTTGCAACCGGGACCTGGAACGGTCGAATCTGGAGCGCAGGTTCAGCAGGCAATAAACATCGAGTGCCACAAACCCTTCTCAAGCAACGTTACCCTCGCTCTTTCGTTTGTGTAAGTGGTTGCATGCATTTCGTCTCATGTGCTTTTATGCTACTTTCGCGTGCGTCTTCTCCATTTGCTGACCCTTGACATCTTCGAGAGGCTTGCCACTCGTAGCTAGCCTGGTTTCCCGGTTTTCGTAGGCAGTAACTTGCATGCTTCTTACGGAGCTGGCATATCTCCGACAAACTTGCTGGGCTGACCTGGCATACAATTACCATGCGGCGACTCAGACCGCGCTAGAAAACAAATGAACCATCCACATGGCGGATGCCAAGTGACAAGGAACCAAATGAGCTTTACTGAGAACACACATATTTGTTGTGTACGCAGCAGTGAACCCACTGTACTCTCCTCATGACACTACTGTCTCTGTCGTGTCAAACCACAGTGAACCACTTGAGATCTGCAGTTGCTGCGGCGGTTAGTGCGCAAACCCACACTGACACTAAGTGAGATTCGTTCAGGACGTCTTCACACCGCGGCAACTCATGTGCCTTTCTCCATAGTTTATTCTAATCTACTGAGCTATAAACTAAAGGTGTAGAAGTCATGCTTCTCCTTGACTGAATCAGTAAGAGAACTTTTGCTAACGGCCAGTCTTCTTTCGGGTCTCAGTGCAGTCTTGCTAGGTTACTAGTATTCGTCTCCAATGTTACCTCTTGTTCATGTCTGGCCGCTAGATCACAGAAGGCAGCGTTACGAATTCGATTGCCGACTCTGCACGCGTGGGGTACTATCTGTGATGCATATTCGTCCGCTGCATCAGAGTCGAAACACTAGGACGTGTTATAACAATGCTTGCTCACAGCTCGAAACTGTTTGTCTAAGTTACTCCCCCTATGTTTGCTTGTGTGCATGACTGCCTTTAACCACATCTCGTCATTCGAATGCGAATAATTATGAAAAGCGTGGTTGAATACTTTGAAGCCAGAACATCTGGGAGCTTAAGTTCACTTCATTCGGCCGAATAACCTTAACTTTACACGCTCTCCTTTCGTACAGCTCACCAAACAGCCATTGGCAGTGGTGGACCGGTCCATTTACCTTGATAGCTGTGTTACCTCTGATGGTTACATCACTGAGAAAGTTACTTCGCGTATCAGTAAGGCCCATGTGGCTTTGTAGAGCCTCAACCATCTATGTAGACGGCGGGATAGCCTGTCAGTGAAAGGTAGGGTGTAAAACTCTGCGGTAAAGCCTGTGTTGCTGTATGAAAATATTGAACGACTGGCCGTATTTGACCACCGGTGCTTACCAAGTATTGCTCATATTTGGTGGGAACACCGGGTGTGTAATGCTGAGGTCCTCCAGTTAGTTTTTGGCAAGAACCCTTCTTATCTCTCAATCGACTGTTTGCCGAATCTTAATCGCTTACCCTGGCTAGGCCATGTCCTCCGTATGCCCGTTATTCGGCTTCCTCGGTGTACCTTATACGTCGTGGTTTCACCAACTTGGGCGAAACTCCGTGTTGGTCAGTCTGTGTCGTGCCATAGAGGCATGAAGAAATTGTCTGAGAGATTTGGTCAGGCTGGTGGATGGGGGCCTTTGGATGGTCCACACCAATGGTTGGAGACCGTATCAGACATGACACAGTAACGCACTTAGTGACGTTCCTTGAGTATGACTGTTAATTTTCGTTCCATTCTGATTAGTTTAACGCACTTTCTTCTTGCTTCCACTTTCTTTACATTCTCTTCGCATTCAATCACACTATCTTGCCGTCAATATTTATTGTTCTTCCTGTGATGTGAGTCTTGGTAACTAGATCCACTGCACTTCGATGCTCGGATCATAGTTGTTCTACTGAACTAATGTACGACTGTTACTCGATTGTTGCCTTCTTCGTATATGTGCTCTGTTGAGGTTTGTTCTTATTATTACTGTTTCAAACGCGGATACCTTAAGTTGCATTATTCGTGCTCCAAAGAGCAGGTTTCTCACGGATTTGCCATTAGTTCCTATGCTTTCTCTTCATGTTTACAACTTTATCTTTGCTCGTATTGAAATTAATTGTGACTGCCCTGCATATACTTGATCTACATGTAATGTATGCTATTTAGCCTGGCGACCGAATGTTTCAAGTCTCCGGGTTGTACTCTACAATTCGCCGATTCCATCTTGCTTAGAATCGGGTGGCCTCGTAGTACCCTTAGTCCACACGCGGCTGATTGTGATCGCGTAGGAGCGAAACATCCGTACGATGTCCCCACTTTTTCATCTTTCTCTTCCGTGTCCCCTTTTCACGCAGTTGCGGTGATTCGAAACATCGCTATGTCCTCCTCCTACCAATCACTTTGGGAAGGTTCATTCAGCGTGCTGAAATGGACCAAGCCACATACTTCTCTCGTTGGAAGTTACTGTCCCAGTGAGTTTCTCTCAAACGCAACATTTGTTTTCGCCAAGGTTCCTGTTTTTCTACGCACTCCACTATTCCGCATAGTTTGTCCCTCATGGGGATTTCTTTTTCCTGCATCATCAGTGATCCGTGTGTCTCATTTGTTTGACCTGCAGTCATGTATAGAATCTTCCTTTCGCCTCTCGTCACCTTCCTCTTTATTTCAATAACATGTGTGCATCCTTGTTGGATCTCAGCTGGTCACAGCTGTCCATTTAACTTGACTCACCAATCAATTTGAGGACTTCTCAGCCTCTCCTTCATCGTTCTAGCACAGCCATCTCTATCGGCCCCCGTTTCGCTCTTTATGAACTTAACGGCTCCTTATGTGAGTGTTCACTAGACATCTGGAAAAGCGATATGTAGCCATTTTATATTCCCGCGATTTCTCCACAATACCCACTTCCCTTCGAATCCCCAATGATGAGAATAAAACGACTGCCCTTCGCCTTTACGGACTCCTGATAGCTGACCAGACTTGTCCAATCCCGATGAATCTTCTTTATAAGTGTGTCTCATCTTCCGCTCAATACTTCCATACTCCTTCCTGACGTTGAACTAATTCATTTGGCCCTATCGAAATCTACAGTCTCGTTTATACATTTCCGTAGACAGGACTTACGTTTACCGACCAAAACAAATCGCTTCATCCTTCTTTGGTATTCAATTTCCACACTGTTCATTCTACCCAAAGAGCTTAATTTATTCATCCGTAGGCCCATTTGGTCAACTGTGGAGACAAAGTATACACTGATTTTCCTTTTCACTGTGCTAACTCTCCCTTCTATTGTTTGATTTTTGTGCCCATTTCAGACCCCAACAAGAATGTAGTTCCATATTCCGATCGCAGTTTTCCATGGATCAGGTTGCAGTGCAGAACAAGGTTAGTGTCATAATGTGTGTACCCATGGATTTAACTTTGATTGTTCCCCCTCTCTTCATAACCGGTTTACCTTCTCCATGTGCCTGTTGTAGATGACATTTCTGGTTCTCGCAAAAGCAGTCTGGGTTCTATTCTTGGTTTCCAGCCTCTCGCTGTTAGCCTCTGTGTCTGACACCTTGGCAATCTTCCACTCATATTGACAGTCAACAGTTGTGTGTTATTAGGTGTTTTCTCCATCGGGCTATTTCTCTTTAACGCAGCAACACCGACCAACATGTCGTGGGATAGACTGAATACAGGTTATTTCATGTATTTTCCGTCAGCCGCATACACAGAGTAATCTGAATTTATTCTATCTGGCAAACTGTCAGTTGTTGTCGCAATGTTAATATGCCTAAACGGAAATTTTTACATGACTGTTTTTCGTTGAATCCTCTGATTACAATGCAACCAGGCCATAAAATTGCACAATCATTTGCGTACATCCATGTTTTATGTTAATAGATTATGGAATTACACAGTTTAGCGGTCACCAAATACCTCTAGGATCACTCGAGTTGTCTCAGAGTCCTCCTCAACAAAGCGTGGGTTCATGTTGATGGTTGACTTCGCTCGGTCGCATAATCACGGGTTGCGAGCTCAGCCTTGTTGGGCGTACGACACATGTGTGTGTGTTTGCCGGCCGGTGAGCACAACTGTTGCTCACTTTCGCGCAACCGTCCACTTCACGTCCGACTCATCTGTGGGTGGTTTTGGGTGATGAGGTATTGTTGGAAGACTGCATAAGCAATCAGTTTGTTCGCCGCCTTGTTTTCGATGCAGCAAGAGCAAATGAATTCCTCAGCACCTTGATTTCACAGACCAGGCTCCAATAACTGGACCATGTGTTTGTCGCCTATGCCAGCACATCGACTCCCGCGACGTGTGTTGCTTGCGCTATCGCCGTCTGTATGCAGGGGTTGGGGCGGAGAATGAAGCTCCTCACCTCGAGCTTGGCCCCAAGTGATGCTCTCAAATTCCCTTGTTGAGGTTATTGGGGACTGTTGTCAACATGGCAAATTTTCGTTCTACTTCTCCAAGTCTACTTCTTGACTCACAAATCATGTTATATATATATATATATATTAAGTTCCTTTTTAATACTGTACTTGTGTCGCGTTGTGGCACAATAACTGAAGTGTTTCTCATCTCTAGCTGATGATATTGATGCGGCCTCCATAGCAGACAAACCTTACTTACTAATAAGAGGGTCTATTTGTGTGGCTTTTAGTAGATCTACATGGGACTCTGCATCCGCAATCCTCAACTTGACCTATTAACCGTTACCTTTTAAATCGATTCGTAGGGTGAGCTCCCCTAAGCGTGAATGCTTCTTCTTTGGGCACTCTCCGGCGGAACGAGCAGTTGGATATTACCAACTATCTACAAACTCGCAGTCACTGTGCTCAACTTTTAACCCTGTTCTTCCAAGGTTGACCAGCAGTAATTTGTCTCGAGTTTCGTCCCCTTCACTGCTAGCAAATTTAGGTTGGTGTTCATGATAATCGTAGTGCTGGACAGCACGGGTCAGTGGGATGGAGAATTCAGTATTATTGAGTGAAACTAAGTGCTGCTCCGAGTCATTCGCGGAAAATGCATTATGTAGAGTCAGTTGATCTAATACCTTGCAAGTTTGAAGAAACAGGTCAACCACCATTGCTCGCCGAGTCGCACGAATACTCTCAGGTACCTCGAAATCAGAGCATCAGTGTACAAGCAGTACTCACACCATTAAAGCGGCACAAGACGCCTGACGTGTTGACATCCTTCCTTCGTTAATGCACCACGGTAGCGACGCACTTTCGGTTGTGCTTGTTGTCCTATTCACCTCTGAATTGACGTTCTTCGACTAATAGTTGTCAGATGTGTCTCCGATTTTCGACGGGCAATTTTACGCAGTGCGAAGATCGGAGGAATATTGGTCATTATTCACAAGCGTTTCACAGCGATTTTCCATCGTTTTGAAAACCCCATGACTAGATCAGGAGTCAGAGTAAGCGAACATGTGTCTCGATTATTCATCTTCAGGCTTCTACAATTATATGTAAATCAAAGTGAGCAGACAGACGTTACCAGTCATTGGAGATTGAGACTGTAGTTAAGAGCAAGCCGAAAAGTTTCTGTACAGCTCTATCGATTTATGAAAAATCAAAAACATTTCATTGCGGATTGTCAACGGCAGTGTTTGGATTGTTAATCGTTTACCCTTGTTCGATTAGGAGTTCGTGTTGGTATTGTTTCCAGAGGATAGGATGTATTTCTTTTACGTTGTATATGTCCGTTTCACAAAAGCACAGGTTTCCGAAATAATCATAGATACGCGTTCTGAAACACCACAGAATCGACTTATATTAATCCTTCCGTTAATGTATTCTCCAAGTGTACGATTTTTCGTTCTATACAAAGTTGAAGTGATACCTTGTCATGCATGAAACCCTGTGTTTGTAACTCTGTCCTCGGGTATTACAGGGTTCCCGCAGGTAAATATTGGCCGCAGTATGGGGAAGTGATTCAGGTGTAATATTCGATGGTCAATTCGCGCTCGGAGCGAGGACAGTGTGTAGAGTCCAGGCCTTTCACAACGATTTTATACAGAAGCTTCAGTAGACTGGGAAGGATTCTAGTTGCAACGTACAGTTTTTCCGTTTCTCACTGGGTTATTGGATACTAAGCTGGGGCGCCGTATTCAGGGTTTGATCTGATGAGCGAAGTGTGTAGGTGAGCGACGGCTTCTTCAGACCATGTAGAAAAACTGTGTCATAATGCCCAGAGCATACGAAGTCCCGCACCGTACATTTCCTCTGTATTTTCCAGTGATTTCATATCATGTCGCGACAACACTCCTAAGTCTCTGACAAACGTGTTGGGGTGTGGCAACTGGCCGTCCAAGGTGTATGATCGAGTGGCTGGACGTCTGGTGATGCTGATAAATTTCCGACTGGCCTGCGTTAAGAGGGAGTTGCATTTCAGTGGACCACGTTGACACTCGATCTAAGTCATACTGGAGGCGGACGCAGCCGTCCTGGTTCTCCATTATCCTCTAGATTTTCAAATCATCTGCAAACTGCGCACATGGTGACTGGAGCTGTTGTGGGAGATCATTGATATAAATAAGAAATAATACTGGCCGAAGTACAGTTCCTTTTGGCACGCTACTGGTCGATGGGATCCACTCGGTCAGGTAGTTATTGACCTGTACTCTCCACTTCTGCCCCACAACAAACAATTACTCCTGGATCGAATTAAATGTTGACATTGATTGCCCGCTAGGTTACGATAACTGACTGCCTATAGCCTCGTGAGTCAGAAGTCACCAGCTGTTCGGTCCAATGCAGTCTTAATCCTCTATTTAGTGTCTTCTGCATACACAGCCATGGTTCATACAGTCGAATCGCGATTGCTTCAGTAGCTTCCAGTGTTCGTTTGTGAACGTATCTTGGTCGATTCGTCGGGGTGTGATAGATAATTTTGAGAAAGAGCTGTGTCGGTGAGATGCGCGGCTATGGAAGGTTTAGCTTTTTCCGCTTCCATTTCCAAGCCACACCGGATGGTGTTCTTTCACTTCCTCGGATATACGCGTTGTCGTACGACCAATGTATTCTGCTCGACATAGACGTGGAGTTGGCTTGGACAGGCCTCTTATGCTCCCTATCGGGGTGCTAGTTAACTGGATTTGCATTCTTGCTGCTATGTAGATGCGTCTGAGTGCATGCGAACGGCGGTGACGCCCTTGTATGGCAGCTGTAGAAAGATTGCTCTACGTTCTATCAGCACTACTACTAGTTTTTTCTTCTGTTCAACGCTGACTTTAATAAAACTTTGCAGGCAGCCATTCTCCCTTAGCAGCAAGCGAATGCACTCCAATTCCTTAGAAAATATGTCTTCGGAACAGATATTTTCTGTTCAACTCATCAGACTATATATTAAATTTTGCCACAAAGATGTGGAGGTTTGCGTACTGCCCATTCCCCGTGCATTTCCTGTACACGCGAGGCTGCAGCGCACCTCCATCCACAGCGACGTCTGAGCAATTAAAGTTACTGTTTTGTTTCACTTCGTAGGTAAACTTTATTGTTGGGTGGCTTCGGTTGAATGTATTTGTTGGCTTCTCGATACTTCGGGCGGCTTGAAGCAAAACAAAGATGTCGTCTACGTATCCGGCATGAGATGGTTGGCTTTTACTTGCTCCGTCCCAGCGTACACATGAAAACATCGGCGAGGTAGGATCCAAACGGAGACCCCATACAACTCCAGCGCACTGTCGATATATTTAGCCATTGAAGAACAACTAAACCTTGATTATGCATCTGAATAATGATTCTTTTAGAATCACAGTAGCTAAACCAACATTTATATGGTTGGCGTGATCATACACTGGCACGTTAGTGAACAGTGAAGTAACGTCAAGTGCACAGCACATGGATAGATTAGTGACATTTACCTCACATACGGTATCGACGAATTCAAAACTATATCTCAGACTGTGCACAGCAATCTGCTTTCGCGTAGGGGCACGAATCACAACCAGCCGCCTAGCAATGAAGCAGTACGTCCAGTTTCTCATATCCTAGGCACTATGTTTATGAGTTTTTGGTACTCTTTATGGACTTGGAATAACGTTGCCTACCGACCGAAACTGTTCATAAGCAGTCTCGTTCATACACATAGTCATCGTTTCGAAGCTTTCGAGACAGTTGCAAACTTGAGTTTCAATCTACTTTGTTTTGTGCTTCTCACTTGTGGTCTATCCAAACTTGGTATTTCATCTGCCAGTATTTCATTTGTTTTGCTTAAGTAGTCCATTCTGTTCGTGTTAACAATGCTTACAATCTTATGTGATCGAGTAAGCACAATTTCGCCATTGTTGTTGCTGTCTCACTAATGTGTCGTATGTTATCCTCGCACATCGGTACTGGTAGCAGACATGCACTAGAAACGGTTTAAACTCTTTCACATACCTTTCAGCACAAACGATCAGTTGGGAGGTATGCGTGCACACATCTTCGAATAGTGTTTTTATTTATAATCTATTATCCCTTCTAGCAAGATAACAGAAAGAATCTAGGGCCTAACGATAGAACTTCCACCATAACACGATCAAGCGTCAGGAACGACAAATTTTGTACATAGCTTTCTGATTCGATGTCTTTGTGAGCCGATAGCACAATCTAAATTCTTGTTTGTGATTATCTCCTTGATCATCTCTAGCCCCGACCGGACGCTTGTTGAGAGACTGTCAAGTGCGCTGCTTGACTGATACGAGTGTTATCTATCTGGTTCAGTGTTAATCGCTTCAATAAGTTGCTATCCGATCTGATGTATGAGCGACGAACCGATTCCCAATATCTAGCATAATTGACAGGCGTTACCCATTTTAATTTCATATAATTGCAGAGACCTGAAAACGAATTGTCGAAAACAAATGTTCGCTTACTCTGACTTCTGGTTTTCCATTCCTTCTCGAAAAGTCTACATGTGACGTATTACATATAACAGCGGCCATAAAAAAGGAATCTTCATGATGATAGCCTATTGCTTACAACAGTGGCCAAAAAAATGCAGTTAACATAATGACGGCTTACCTGTCTTTGTTCCGCCTTAGCACACGGTCAGATGAGGCATGGAAGTGCTAATGAAACCTTTCGTGGGACCACCACCCCCCCCCACATGAAAGCAGGTTCCCAGGCGACCGTTCCACGGATGGTCGTATTACTTTACTTGAACTGCTTTTTATGTCTACATTGATTCCTTCCTCTACTTCCCTCAGTTTTATTACCTTAAAATAATTGAACACTGCAAACTTCTCTAGGATCTGCATCGTGAAGTATAAAAAATATGTCTCCACCATCCGAGTGTTTCGTGCATAATCATTAGACAACGCATTTGGTCTGTGTCTCACACCGTCGGGATAGATACCTTTTATTTATTTATTTATAATGAAACCATCCGTTGCAGCAAAGATTGCCCACACTTATGCTCTATACCAACTATTTGTGCGTCGTCTACATACTAACGGATGATTGTTGCATGCTTTGTTGACTTGAAGACTGCATCTGACCTTATTGATCGCGAAAGATTTACGGTAGATACTTCTTCTTTTGTTCTGTACTTCCTATCATAACCATCGAGATCATGCGCATGTATGCAGGAACTCCTGAGTTTTTTGCATTGAGATGGCCCTTTCTCCCTCTTCTGCTCGACTTACGCACGACTCTGCCCTTATGATTATTATAGGTTGGATTTTTTTCTCATTGACACTTTGGAGTAGACGGATGACATTGCTCTCGTTGGGTCGAAAGTGCTTTGTACTCTTCAGGTGCCATTTTCTACTTCAGGACTTGCGTCTATTTCCGACTGTTGTGAAGTACCAACCCCTCTTACTTCTGAGTCATATAACCGATTAGATTACGTAGCACATTGACCCGGTTTTAAGGCTTTCCAAGGCCTCAGATATACGTGGAGACTGTATAGAATGCCCTGTGCTCAACGTTGATCAGTTTTATTCTGTGGTTTTCTGGACGATTGTCCTACTGTGAGTACAACATCAGATTGGCTGCCTGCGTAATATTGCTGTCATCCACTAGGGTCGCCCAGCGAATATTATTGATGTTTGTCGGTTGATGTCTAACAACAAATCATCTGGTGTATTGCCAGGTAATTTCTTGTTCTTAAACCTTCTATTCTAGCTTGATGACGTCCTCTCTATTCCGATAGACCGTTTTCCTCGTCTTTTAAATCCTTCGGGTGGAAGAACACACATGGGGTAGGGGTGGTCGTCCTCGCGGTATACTCAGCCGGCGCGCGACTGTTGGTGGTCGCGCGGCAGCGTGTTCAGCTGATACATTATTATTATTATATTATACACATATGGGGCTGAAATTCAAGAAGAGACCCTGTCGAACTGGGGCATACTGCCTCCATTTACCGTGTCCATGGATTAACCATCTCAGTAGTTCGACCTAGGCCCAACCAGGATAGCAATGTTGTTCTTATTTATGGTTTTTTGTTTCCTGTTGAGTTTTCCACATGATAACCATGTTTTCTGGTATCGTCTCCAATGGATGTGCGTTTCTGTTTGTTCTTCTCCATCACTTGTTTTCACCCTCCATTTTCTCTTGGCAGTCGAATCAGAGCAACCTGGACTGCGGTACTTCGATATCCGGATCGTAGTTACCCCATTGAACCATGATTAAGGAGCACTAACCAAGACTGCGTATGAGCATGGAACTGAGGCTGGCGACAAATTAGCTGTAGCGCTTTAACCATCTGCTCTCTGCCACGTTTTTGTTTGTGCTTTTGCATGTACCTTTGTCTTCTATTGCACTCCCTTCTTCCTACTCTTGGCAGCTCCTCGGCTTCGGTATCAGTGTGTTGAGCGGGATCGATCCTAACCCAGTAAATTACGTGGGTGCTGGTATCCTTACAATGAGTTCACAAGAAGTCGGAATCTTGGTACGCCTGGAACCAAACGTCGACGCACAGGTTTGTGTGTGTATGCCTCACACGTTTGCATTTGTGACCGTTTTCGGTTGTTTTAGATGCGATTGACGCTTCTCTCATCATTTCCAAACAACACCGTGCAAATCGGTAATCGTAGTCACACCCGGGAAATACTGAGTGCGTTTGTGTTTGTTGAGCCCTTTTTGCCATCTTGACCGCTGTTATAATCCTGTTCTTTCCTCACGAACACATCACACAAGCATATCTGCTTCTCCACTCTCTAACGTATTTTTGTGTTTACCTCATCGGACTGTGCACAACTTCATTTTGGCCATTATATCCGGATGCATACTAGGTGTAAGTCTCCGCTCGCTTATCTGCTTGTGATAAATATTTCGGCTGCTAGTGTTACTTCGTGTCCAGATGAACGAGGTCTCGCTTTTCGGCAACACTTTTCCGTACCTTATTCGATTACGAACTATGCGCTAATATTACATAGTTTCTTTTGTTCCACATATCCTTCTTCACTTATGCTTCCATCATCCTCCGCTGCTTTGCATGGCTTTGTAACTTTTTTCTCTTTCCAGATGTATCGGCTTACCGTTCGGAGCACGCGAGATGTGGTCGCGAAGACTGTGTGCCAATTGTTGCAGCAACAGCTCTAACCAGTGTTCCATTGATATAGCGAAAAACAATTTGTCCCTTGCGGTGGCCACTGAAAATTTTGCCGTCGTAGCACTAGTGCGTGCGCACGTGCACTTCCGATTCATTCCATTTGCATAGCAATCCTGCACTTGCCTCCGCCCACCGTTGTGATCTCAACACGAAACAATTCCTCTGTGTGCTCAGGCGTTGCGATTTTGTTATCTCTTTCGAGCACATCTATTTCAGGCTGACTTCTCCCCCCTCATACATTTCTGCTCATTTGATGATTCACTGGCGCGTCAGTACACTCACTTTCAATGCACTCTTCTATCCTCACGTGCATTTATCGTTCTGTGCAGAAAGATATCTCGTCTGTTGTTATTCTTTTTGTAAATCCGACCACCGGTTCTCACTTTGGTCACCCCTTGTGTCCGTCACATTTGATTCCTTTCCGATAGTTACTCCTACCTTACCCCCACATCATCAGACAGTTCATGGTCGAAGGCTTATATCCCTCCGCATTGGGCAGCGCTCCCGCTATTTCTACGTTATGATTATGTTGCGACTTCACATACCGTCAAACTACTTCCTGTCTCTTTTGATCTTCTTCCTTTTCTTAATCGGCACGTTGTGCTACTTGGCATTATGATAATTTCTCCCTGTACCTTCGGCCGTTCTATTTAGCTTTATTCTGAAAATGTAGTTATGTCCTTATACCAATCCACTGCGAAACTTTTATCCTGTTTTCTCCTCTCCACTGGCTTGCCTTCTATATGGATACTACAGTGATTTGAGAAAATATATAAAATCGGAGCATTGTTAATGTTTGCAACTTGTTCTTTTGCATGTATTTTAGTCTAGTATGTTAATATTTACTTAGGAACGGTTCCTTAGCCAACAATTGCTGCCGTCACCAAACACAAACGCATTTCGTGCGAACGAGGCATCGGCTGCACACGTAATGGGATTAACTGCAACGAGTACTAGACCTGTTCAACCAGTTTTGTTGCGGAAATGTCCATCTGTATCATCTTAGAAATCCACTTTGGGAACAATACCTACTCATCCTTAACGCTTTGATATTTGATCTCTGATGACATTTATGCACGTAACTAATCGAAAGCTAATATATATCTACTTCGGACGAACGTTCTTGCTTTAAACCGAATCGATTCGCCTTTATGTACCATGGTAAGTAATAGCGGAATGCGCTTTAGTATTGGATGGTAAACAAATCGATATGACGGAAGTAGATTGTGGTGAGTAGTTATTTCGTAACTAGGGTCAGTTATGGGAACATACTGGTGCAAGAATCAAGATGCCATTATCCCAACGCTCTACCTGTTCCCCGTTTAGTCAAATCGAGTCTAGCCTATAATGGACGCAGCTGGAACCCAGTCTTCGAGTGTCTCTTTTCTAAATTCGGCTAACTGGTCGCCTATCATGCGCCGTACCATAACTTGTCTTTCGATAGTGCGCACATTGGCTTATATGAATAAGAAGTCAGATGGTGTGTAAATGCTTTTAAATATACCCAACTTGGTTTATGACATGTCTTCGTTTTCGCCAGCCTGACTGATTTTATTCGCAGTTGCGTGCAGGTTTGGTCCATAGTAAACTAAATTGGTTAAGAAGGGAAATTGGTTTATTGTGCTACAACACCAATTGTGCCTCGTTCGAAATGCGCTCGGTTTGTTCGACCAAAAAGCAGCTAGCAATAAATTTCCAATTGTGTTTGACGCTAACGCATCATAAAGCCTTTTTCAAAGTCTGTTTACATCGGACTGATGTATTTAACCTCTTGACACTGTTCTTTAACCAACTGTAAAGGTAAGATTATTACTCTGTGTTTGAACTAATGGAATGTATAACACAGGCGACTGATCAAATGCAACTCATTTTGCTTCGTTAGTCATGCCATCGAGGATTATTGGCGGAACCGAATGCAATGATTAGGATATTTCAACGATCGACGTTACCTCTTATGACCAGAGGCTAACTGCACAGCATGCAATCTGGTAATGAATTTCTCCAAGAAAACGCTGAGCGGTGGCAGCGCTTCCTCAACGCTGAGAGGAGATAGAGATGACATCAGCACGCGAACCCGGCAAGTGTGACAGCGGATACGAAATCAATAATCATTATTATACGCGTTAGCTAGAAGTTGAAACATCTCGGCTATTGTGCCGCAATACATAAGAGAAAAACAAACTTACAACGAATGCACACCAGCTGAGCCACCAGTAACGGATGGGCATCGTTCCGGAGAGTTACAAGCCAGCTGTTGTGCCGCAGAAAAGTTCTATAATGCCTGGGAAATGAGATCGGGGCTAGAGTGGCAGGCTAAACGAGAAAGGGACAAAGAAACTCACAACGCAAACGGCATGATGGTCGGCTCCTTTCCGTGTCAACAAGTGTATCCAGCTAAACGTGTTCATCGTCTTTCTGACCCCAACCAGGGACCTAGGTCCAACCGAGGCCCACTTCAAAATGTGGGCCTTCATTCCTTTTGACTAGGTCGTCGGTTGATCTCCCCTCTACTTCCATCCCTCCGGCGCGCAAACAGCGCACTTCATGGGAGTCAGTGGGCTGTCATGCGCAGCGGGTTGTCCAGTCATCGGAATCTGTTGCGTGGAATGACGGTGCTGAACCGTTCACTTCCTCTTCCTGCGCCACAAACAAGGCGTCGAACAAACTCATTTCTCACACGGAGTTCCCACCAGATATGGTCCAAACTGCGAAGGCACCGGTGGTCAAACGTAACAACACATCAGTAGTTCTGAAGGTGTAAAACGCACCACCCACCACAGCTCACTGGATCGCTGAGGCACGCAAACCATCGCACCACGGTATGGTCCAGTCGCATTGCGATGGTGCCAATTTAGTAGTTCAACTCAAGTCAACAGTACGCTTTATGCACCTATGAAGAGTGAATATCCAGCTACAAAACACGCTAAGGGCACAACTAAAATTATAACAAATGTATATGATGAGCCGCCAATATGAAATGGTGGCATTGGTCATCTCATCGATTCGGTCTGGCAATAAGGTCTTGTTTGACTACATCTTTATCCTTCAGCAAACGTGACAAATATGGAACAACTGATGTACCGTAAGTCCGTATGTGAGCATAAATAGCTTTGTACTTTTGTCTGGTCGATGACGTCGAGATTCATTTTGACAACATACAATGGAGAGTGTGACTGACATCAGTGAGTATCTTGGAAGCCAGTTTTTCGCAGTAGCGAACATGATTGGACGCAATGATGTCAGTAAACACTAGCATAGAAATTCCGCCGCATCAACCAAGATGTTTCAGCGCCCTGTTGCTTACTTTGGATTGCCCGTTAAAAAGCCAAGAAATGTCACAGGTGAGCAATCCGCCCAGTGCGGTATTACGCAAACAGTGACAAACCGTAGAATCAAGTAACGAGGCAGGGATGATGACCTAAGTCCGAAGACGTAGAACTTTAGTCCCCTTACTTTACTGAGTGTTTCATTCACGTGATGTGACCACATGAGATCCCGACTTAGTGTAACTCCGAGATATTCCACTGTTTTACACGAGTACTGAATGGCACTGTCAATACTAAGATGCGGGATGTGCATCAGGACCTGTTGATAACAATTTTCCTTGGACAGTGAGAAATCAACATCTTTACTCTTTGATGCGCTGAGTGAAAGACAACAGGATTTTCACCAGAAGGTGAGGTTGTCCAAGAAACATTGCATATTGGCCGATGAATCTAGGGTATGATTGTGTACACCAATGGATCATGTCATCAGCATACTGCAGCAGGTTGGCTTCCTTTGGAGCGGGAATGGAGTTAATGTAGGAGGAAAATAGGAATGGGGACAAAGTAGCTCCCTGAAGAACACCTGAATTTCTGGTGAGTGAGTAAAAGATTTCTCCCTATGATTGGCAAAGTAGTCTCTACGAAAAAGTACTAATGTAGGTTGAACTCCGGAAACTAGCAGGCCGTGTAACAGCAGCTCGAAGTTTACACTACCGAAAGCATTGCTGTAATCTAGGAAACAGATCCGCGTGGGTTTGTTTTTACTGTCGTGTGATGAAAGCATAGAGTGTACAAGACAGGCTAGTGCATCGAAAGTGGATCTTGAACCGCGATAGGCGAAGTGAAAAAGATCACTTGAGTTATCATACGCATGTTCACAGAGGACAGTGCGTAGGTTTTGGGTCATTCACAGAAAAGTGCGCGATATCGTATCAGTTAGTGCTTATGTGCCATCTGCTCTGCCACTAGTCGAAAGCGCAGGGACGTTATAGTTTGCACGAACATTTCGGACCCCCTTGTTTCTGCAATGGTTACAAAACTGCTGTTGTTACCTACGAGAATCGCATACCCCTTTTAATTCAGCCAATTTGTACGTTTTCCACAAGCTGGCTCCACACTCAGCCAGCTGCGCGCCATTCATTAGTTTAAATGCTTCACACCGCTCCATATACTCACGCTCATTGAGGATGTATATACTAGATACTATATTGTATATACTAAATTGGACGTTTTACAAACCACATTGAGCACATGGCATTCTAGGCCGCAAATCAGCAATTAGTTAACAAGAGATGAGGTGTAAGGCGACTAGACGATGTTCAGACTACATTGTAGTCATGTTAATGCAATCCAATTGTGTTAGCAGCGGGTGTCATTGCGAACCCTTCTCCTGATCGCAAATGTCGACGAAAGGCAGTTACTAAGTTTTGACTCATCAGATGGAGATAGCCTGACCTGGGTCCTTGTGATCGGAATTTCCGATGTCTCAGAAGCGATTGCGTGTCGCAATCCAACCACAAGGCGGGTACTCCTAATCCAAATATGAATTCCTTACTGCTGTGCCAAGCGTTGCTCACAAACCTTATTGGCATACTGATCAAGGCGTCAGCCGTGAACCGCTAAGCCCCGAGTTCAGCTCCAGCTCAGGCTATCTCCGTCTGATGAGTCCAAACTAGGACGTAACCACTCGTGGGATGTCAGTGTAGGGGGGAGCAACACCGAAACACCTACATTTCGTATATGGTCCTTGTGATCAGAATCGTCGAAGTCCACCTCAGTGAACGTGGGTTTTAATAGATATGGCGTGTCACAATTCAACCACACGGTGGCTACTCCAAATCCAACTTTGAACCGTGGCCAATTTGATCACTAGGATCGTAAATGATGAAACAGACAGGTGGCGACCCAGCAGTCCCCTGTCACTCCATGGGCCTTCGTGTATTTTGTGTGGGCGAACTTATGCAGCTGCACCACGATTGAAACAGTATAGACTGTCATTGAACGGAACCCTCTCTAGCTTTAAGGGCCTGCTGCTGCAGTTGGTTATCAAGGCAAGGGAAGCAAGGTGACTAGAAGATGTTCAGGCCACATTGTGGTCACGTGAATGCAACGAAACTGTGCCGTACACCCGCGCTGAGTCTAACGTTCGAGCTTAAATGACTTGAAGCATATTGACATATCTTTCGGTTAGTACGCTACTCAATCGAACACTTCAGAGAACAGCTCGATCAACTGAGTCCAACGCCACTTGTATGTATAAGAAGAACACGATCGTTGTCCGGTCGAACGAGTATCTGGTTTATCATAGGGATGTGTTCGATACAACTCCGACTAAAGCGGAACCCAGCATGCTGTTCGCGTATGTTCTGCTCGCCTACCAGGCCAGGCTTATTAGAGGTATGCTTACCGGACATATCTTTTTGTGACAATTCTTATTTTCCTGCTTTCGTTTTGCTGCCGTCTGTTCCTTAATATTTGTTAAAACGCATCATGTATTTACTTTGATTGGACGGCCTACTTCGCTCGTAATGA